GATATAGCTGTGTGTCATCTGCATAAAAATGGTATTTACAGTTTGTCAGGTGTAGAGAGAAGTTGCTAGTGTAAATGGTGTATAATAATGGTCCCAAAATACTTCCCTGTGGAACGCCCTGACATATGTCCACAGAATCCGAAATATGATCATCTAATTTCACCTGTTGCGACCTACCAGATAGATAAGACTCAATAATTGAACAAGCAGTTGCTGTGAATCCAATGAAATGTAAGATAGAGAGAAGAATATCATGTCTTAAGGTATCAAATGCCTTGGAGTAATCAAGTAGAATTAGAGCACACATTTCATTATTATCAATTGATCTCAATATATCATCAGTAATATTAGGTAATGTTAGAAAAAAATAATTTTTGAACAGTTCCTAACTTGGTTAAAAATGGTTCAGGATCCTGTGTGAGAGAAAACAATTTACCTATTTCAACTTGTTCTCCATTTCTATGAATAATTGATTCATATCTTATTTTTCTCTAGAATAAATTATCTTCCTATAACGTTATTATTGTTATTTCAAAGTCAATCAATAACACCCTCTATATTAATTATTTGAAAAATTATCAAACCTCTGTTTTATTATTGCCACTTCCATTGAATCCGAATTTTTAGGCTTACCAAGCTGCTCTCCAGCTATCCGAGAACCGCGATGATTATGAAGCTTTCTGTATACCTATGATGGTCATTCCCAGCACTATAAGTAATAATGTTCCTGGCACTGAATTTTCTTTGGGATGTGATACAGCTCTGAATGAGATAACGGAAATTTGTGACCGCATCAGACAATCCGCACAAGGAACAAAAAGGCGTGTCTTCATTATCGAGACTATGGGAGGATATTGTGGTTATCTAGCGACAGTGGCAGGTATTTGAGTAGTCATATTATGCAATATAGAGAATTGAATAACGATTACTTTAATGATAAATTTTATGGCGTCGATCTCTTCACATTCAAACTTTTCTACCTCTTTATTTCCCTGTATGTTCTTTTTAATTCGTCCAGATGAGGTGTTTCTTAGTTCTCTGTAATTCCTTTTTTGTAATCATGAACATGTTTCTGCTTTATACATGAATACCAGTCTAATGGATATTTTGTATGTGGTCATTTTTTGTTTTATCAGTGATAATTCTACTCTATACTAGGTTTTTGTTGAAATAGAAAGCTTGGTTTGTGTTTCTTATGAAAGAGTAGATATTTCACATACATGGAACGATGTCACCCTCAATGGCGGACATCGATGTTTCGGAATAAGACACGTGTCTTATTGCCAGCACCAGTCTGGATAACATTACAAGATAAAGTCTCTCCTTAAAGTTTATCCCTTTCAATTTAAATCTTTATTACGCGGTATACCCGCACTGTTCAAAGAGTTGATCAGTAACATTTTTGTGATTCAAGACAGAAAAAAACATGTTTATTTTTTCTTTAGGCCTGGCGGGGGGTGCTGACGCAGCCTATATCCACGAAGAGAAGTTTACCATCAAAGACCTGCAACAGGACGTTTATCACATGGCCACCAAAATGTCGGAAGGTGTTCAAAGAGGATTAATTCTCCGCAATGAAAAAGCTTCCGAGAATTATAATACAGATTTCATTTACCGACTTTACTCCGAAGAGGGGAAAGGATTATTCAGTGCTAGGATGAATGTTTTAGGTAAGGTTTAGGTAGTAGGATCATTGACTTCAGATAGGAATAGAGCTTTGCCTGGTTTTTGAGAAAAATGAAAATTCACTTTATTTGAATAGAACTCGTATACAGAAAATGTATTACACAGTCGATGATTTCCTCAGTGCTGACCCGGGTTGTTACTGAACGGAATTTGATTAGCTTCATTTAGATAATTTGACCTTAATTTCTTATACAGTTCTGTACTTTTGTCTTGTTTGATTTATTTCAATTGTAATTTGTATGTTACTTTATATGTATTTTACGATTCAACCACATTTTCGACCTAGTGTAATGACTTCGCAAAAGCTGTTGAAAATGTTCTTGTTTGTAGGTCAACCCTTTCTGTAGTCTGCAAGAAAAGTTATGAGGATACCCTTCAATTTTTCATTTCATAAATATATCCTGGAGTTCATAGCAGACTGAATTTTGATAATCACACAAACTAGCATCTGGATGTTATGCAGTTCGAGACATATCCAATGAACTCGGACTGTCCAATGCAAAGATGGTTTATCATTCATTGAATCTTACTTGCGATATGGTATTGTCTTCTGGGCGGCTAGTAACAAGTATAAAATTCCGATAGTAGTAGCATTATTCATTTTGGAAACTGCATAACATACAGTCCACGAAGGTTGTGTTGTAATCATCTAAGAAAGTGAACAATAAATACAGACAGCAAACACTGGAGTTTTTCTTTTTTTAGAATAATTGGAGTTCGAATTCAAGGGGGTAAACCCCAACACCTACAAAAAGACATTTTTAATTTGAATGAAAACGTTATTCTTAATTTCAATGAAATCGAAAAGAATACACGACTTATTGGTGATGCATCTAGCTTCCTTAAGTAGGTCGGCTATTGTTGACAAATGTGACTTGAGTCATATTTTATTCTTATATCAATGTATTCAACTGAGAATATTTCAGGAGAAAATGTTCACGAATACCACTCGACCTAAAAATGTTCTCAGATAAAAATCCATTTTTTCAAACTCAAACTTTGTTATTATTGAGCTGTCCCAATCCAGCAACCACTCGTTCTAAGAACTCGTGGTTTTATAATAATATAATAATAATAANAAGCTTTCTGTATACCTATGATGGTCATTCCCAGCACTATAAGTAATAATGTTCCTGGCACTGAATTTTCTTTGGGATGTGATACAGCTCTGAATGAGATAACGGAAATTTGTGACCGCATCAGACAATCCGCACAAGGAACAAAAAGGCGTGTCTTCATTATCGAGACTATGGGAGGATATTGTGGTTATCTAGCGACAGTGGCAGGTATTTGAGTAGTCATATTATGCAATATAGAGAATTGAATAACGATTACTTTAATGATAAATTTTATGGCGTCGATCTCTTCACATTCAAACTTTTCTACCTCTTTATTTCCCTGTATGTTCTTTTTAATTCGTCCAGATGAGGTGTTTCTTAGTTCTCTGTAATTCCTTTTTTGTAATCATGAACATGTTTCTGCTTTATACATGAATACCAGTCTAATGGATATTTTGTATGTGGTCATTTTTTGTTTTATCAGTGATAATTCTACTCTATACTAGGTTTTTGTTGAAATAGAAAGCTTGGTTTGTGTTTCTTATGAAAGAGTAGATATTTCACATACATGGAACGATGTCATCCTCAATGGCGGACATCGATGTTTCGGAATAAGACACGTGTCTTATTGCCATCACCAGTCTGGATAACATTACAAGATAAGGTCTCTCCTTAAAGTTTATCCCTTTCAATTTAAATCTTTATTACGCGGTATACCCGCACTGTTCAAAGAGTTGATCAGTAACATTTTTGTGATTCAAGACAGAAAAAAACATGTTTATTTTTTCTTTAGGCCTGGCGGGGGGTGCTGACGCAGCCTATATCCACGAAGAGAAGTTTACCATCAAAGACCTGCAACAGGACGTTTATCACATGGCCACCAAAATGTCGGAAGGTGTTCAAAGAGGATTAATTCTCCGCAATGAAAAAGCTTCCGAGAATTATAATACAGATTTCATTTACCGACTTTACTCCGAAGAGGGGAAAGGATTATTCAGTGCTAGGATGAATGTTTTAGGTAAGGTTTATGTAGTAGGATCTTTGACTTTGAAAGGAAATAGAGCTTTGCCTGTTTTTTGAGGAAAATGCAAATTCCTCTTATTTTTTAATAGGCTTTGTATACAGAAAAGTTATTACACAGTCGATGACATTTTTAATGATGACCCAGGCGCGTGCCTACGGTAAATCCATGGTAGGGGTAATCACAAATTTCGGGCCCAATATTTACAATGAAGGGTTCATATACGTTTTGAAAAGTAAAACTTAAGTAACATTAAGGCTTTCATATTTAATTCTTTGAAAAAATAAATAAATAAACAGAATAATCTTTAAAACGAGAATAATAACTCAAAAATTAGAAAATGTGGAACTGAAAATAAATGGAACAGAATATTATTCAAAATGAAAACCAAACTCAAAAATGGAAGAATGTATAACTAAAAATATATAAACATGACAAAACAGACAAAATAACAAAAACAGGTTATAATATATGAATGGTATCAAATTTAAAATTCCAAATTCCTTTTTATTAGCGCTATATCTGTCTATGACATTATTTATATTGATTTTTATATCCCGATGAATATTTAGCAAGGCAAGTCCTGTTAAACGAGTGTCCAACGTGGTTGATCTGATATAGGTTTTCAGTCTTCTCAAAGACGAGAAACTGCGTTCTGCCAGAGCGACAGATACTGGTAATGTCACTTGAATTTGTAAAATAGTTTAAATTAAAGGGTATATATTTTTAACACACCGCAATAATGAATCGATTCCAGTATCAGATTTTTCGTGACAATTATTCCACTCATTTATCCATAGTTCCTGTTCTGATGTTAATATAAAGCACAAATAAAATTCAGATTCACTTGCAGTTAATTGGGACAAAAATGCTACCAAATTGGTACATGTGAATGTTCCAAGCAGATGGAAGGTACAACATTTAAAAAAGAGAACACAGCTGATTCACACAGAGAATTCAGAATCTGAATTTGAAATTCTCTATAACACTATCAAAGACAAGAAAATAGACAGTGATTCTATAATAATCCTCAGGACTATAACATTGTATTTTTGGTCTCATGGTTTGTTTACCTACCACCTGTAGCATAGTAATGTCAATCTCTAACATTTTGCGAATCTTCGATATGTCTTTGTAGATTTTATTGAAATTGTCGTCACCTTTCTCTCTTTTATATTGCAATGTTTATAAAACATTCGTAATGATCTTCTCAGCGTACAAATATCTATGGTTTTAGCCTGCAAAATTTTACTCAAGTTTACTGTGAGTCCTAATACTTCTGATAAACAACATAAACTTACAATGAAGTTAGAGAAAATAGGATAAATTCAGACAAGCAGCTTTAGATGCGGATTCTCTCTTTCCAATCAGATATCAATTCAAGGGACTCAATGATATTTGAAAAACTTTCTTGAAATCGCTGAATTCTCTTTCAACCCACCTTGTATCACATAACTTTTTTAATTTCTTTCCATTGACGTGCAATAGAACACTGTGTCTCTTAGAAGATGAATTGAAAAAGGTGATGACTTCTTTCATGAACTCTTCGAAATAGATAAATTCAATGCGTGATTACTGCATGGGCATTTCAGAGCATTTTTCAATTCTTGTTGCAATTCTTTAATGGCGCCTTTCTGTTTAACCAACATTGAATTGCACCCATCGGTACCAATTCTCACACAATGATCCATATTCGAATTCAAAGATTTCATTAGCTTCACGACAGTTTGCTTGTCATTACTGGTTCTACAGAAGGTTCATTGTAATTAGAGGCGTGACAATTTATAAAACCGACAAAATCTTCGAAAATTTGATTTTTTGAAACATACCTGAGTATGACAGACACTTGTAGTTAGAATTTCCTCTTTACATAATTCGATCAGTTCATTTTGAGTTTTTGCGCTGATGTATGTTGCTTTTGAAGATGAATTTTTTAAATGTTCTTTCGGTATCTCCATTTTCGACGTGAAAACGTAAGAGTTCTCTAAAATTCCCTTCATTCACAGTGGGTGAATATTCTACATCTATATCAATACCTTCAGTTTCAGAACTTTTTATCTCAATAGCTCCACTGTCTCTATGTCCTCTTAATGGAATATTCTGCCGACCGAAAAAGATAATGCTCTCAATAATAGAAGAGAGACGTTTCCTATTTTTGATAATTTGCTCCTAGAAGCTAGAAGACTAGAAGACAGGTGTAAAAACCCATAGTTGTGTCTTCATCATCATCATTTTTTGAGTTTGAAAATAAGAAATGTTCGAATTTTTTCTCTATGTAGTCATGGTCATGGGGGGGTAATTACCGCATTACCCCACCTTCAGGCACGCGCCTGTGCTGACCTGGATTGTTACTGAACGGAATTTGTGTAGTTTCATTTAGATAATTTGACATTAATTTGTTTATACAGTTCTGTACTTTTGTCTTGTTTGATTTACTTTAATTGTAATTTCTATGTTACTTTATATGTATTTTACAAGTTAACCACATTCCTGACGTGATGTAATGACCTCAGGAAAGCTATTGAAAACTTTTTTGTTGATAGGTCAAACCTTTCTGTAGTCTGCAAGACGTTTATGAGGATACCCTTCAATTTTTCATTTCATAAATACATCCTAGGGTTACACATTGATAGCAGACTGAATTTCGATAATCACATTGAGGTTCTCAAAAGCAAACCAGCATCTGGATGTTATGCAACGAACTCGGGCTGCCCAATGCAAAGATGGTTTATCATTCATTATTCGAATCTCACCTGCGTTATGGTATTGTCTTCTGGGCGGTTAGTAACAACCACATGCCAGCCATTTTGATCCAACAAAAAGGGTCAATATGGTACATGTGTAAAGCAAAAAATCGAGATTCTTGTCGACCATTATTTGTTAAGTATACAATTCTGATAGCATTATTCATTTTGGAAACTGTATGCCTGATAAGAAAACACATTAATAGCTTTGAAGCCATCCAAAGGAATTACAGAAAATATTAGATTTTTATTCCAACCTCAAATTTGGTCAAAGACTCTTATATACAATGGTTGTAAAAGATAAGAAAAATTAAAATATTATTAGTCTTTAAGAAAGCATTGAAAACTTTACTTAGTGAGAAACCATATTACTGCCTTGCTGATTTTTTTTAAACATTTTAAATCGAAATAATTTGTGTTATATTGTGTCATGTGTAATTACCCTGGTCTGATGTAGCATTTGATATTATGTACCTNAAAGGATTCCACTACCCCACCGGCGAATTGAATTAGGTTGTCAGCATTTGGTAGAGTCTCACTCTTGCCAAGTAACCTGAGAAATCATTTGTCAAATAAAGTAATCAGCTCTATTGAAAGGATGAATTTTTTTTTTGGTGAGTTTTAATAGGAGTGAATAACAATGAACCCTCGCAAGTTGCAGTGGAGGGTCGAATATACTAACTTTAGACCTACTCCCCACCTTGCCTACCTTACATCTTGGTCCTTTTGGTGAATGCTAATGTGACCTATTCGAATGGGCTCATATTATGTTTTTTCTGGACTAAGACGACTAAGTTTTCTGCATAACCTCTTCTAGGTTTTCCTCTGAATGATACAGTGCCGATGATATCTGTCACAGTAGCAGACAAATCATATCTAGTTAACAGAAAACCTTTCGTCGAATATGAATCTTTCAAATCGGCTCAGTACGTAGTTACATCTGGGGTACCACAAGGTTCTCATTTTGGACCTCTTTTATTTTTAATTTTTATTAATGACTTGGCAACCTCTTTGAATATTTCTAGCCTACTGTTTGCAGACGACCTGAAACTGTATTATAAAATCGACGACATTAGTGACTGCCAACGTGTACAACATGAATTAGATGTAATAAACTTTGGTGTAACAATAACCGTCTACAACTGAACGTATCCAAATATAAAATAATTTCATTCACAACAAAATAGCGAACTTTAAAGTACGATTATTCAATCAACAATACTACAATCAACCGCGTATATGAGATAAAAGATGTAGGTATAACATACGACAGTAAATTAACATTTACAACACATAAGGAATATGACTGCTGATGCAAATAGGATGCTTGTATTCATTTACAGAAATGGCAAAAACTTCAAACTTGCCACCTTAAAATTGCTATATTTTGCGTATGCCAGAATTAAGTTAGAGTAGGGCTCTATATTATAGAATTCAGTTTATGACTACCAAAAACATCAATTGAGAGCGTGCAAAGGAAGTTCATTATTTCTAAAACTTGATGGACAAGACCACACGAGAGGCACCGATCATAACATTTTGTTGACACGATTTGATATGACATCTTGTTTTAGCATTCACTTTTATATATCCTATATTCCATTATTTTTAATATTCATTCCATATATACTCTTTAATAATAGCATTTCCTGTAACTGGTTACTCCTGTTGGAAATAAATCGCTTTTTTTTTTCATTATACCTGACGATTCGATCCAAAAAGGATCATTTCGGTTGCGCAAAAGCAAAAAGAACAGACCTCGAAACGTGACAATTTCTTCTGATCATTCAAATTGTGGGGCACCCACTTTTCCAGCTTCTTGACCTTTCCAAAACGTTTCAAACCAAAAAAACCTCATAGGAGCTGACGCCCAGTTCATCCGCCATCCCACGCACCATTTGTAATGAGTCAGTCTCCATCAGGGTCCTTAAATCCTCGTCCTGGTTTCGCAAACCGACGTCGAACAGCGCGATCATTAACACTATCATTGCCAAATGATAGAGAAAAATTGGCAGAAAATCGCCTAACGACATCCTATGGTAATGAACTGAAGCGGCAAAACTTTTGAAACAACCTAACATTCAGTTGAAATTTCACTTTAATTTACAAACATAAGTTAAATGGGATTTTTTTGCAGGAAACGTGTTCCAACTGATCAGTGGTGGTTGAAGCTGCGCCCTCTCTTGAGAATTCTCGCCAAACACGATTCTACCTATGAGGAAGAAGGCATGTATATGACAGTTGAGGATCGTGCCTTCGGGGACTCTCTCTATGGTTGAATCTCACTCGAATGTCGAAAGATTATTAGGTTCACCTAACTTAGTGAAAGAGTATCCCTAAAGGTCTCGAATAAGCATAGTTAGACGTGATATGTATTTTGAGAGCCTTTTTTCTTAGTAGTGTAAATTATTTATACCATTCACATTTTACGAGTATAGTATTGTCAACATATTTATTATAATTTGTAAGTGACATTTATAAAGTTTTAAATAATTATTGATGTTAACATAGACAAAGCTATAAATAATTATGAATAAAAATTAT